CCACTTGTAAGGCTAAGTGCAGGACAATGAACAGGCAACTTCTGTAATGAAAGGGGAAGAGGACAGCTTAATTCACAATCAGTGCTCTAAATACAAGATAAGCGTCATTCAGAGGTCACAGTTCAGCAGCAAAGGCTCTCTCATGCTCAGGAATAGCTGCTACTGAGCTCATGGTCAAACTAATTTCTCTAACTGGGATTCCCTATTGATAGTACGCAGCCTAGCCAAAATTCCCTAAATTTACAATAACTCCCAATATTTTTATGTCTTTGAGGGGTTCTTTAAGTAAATCTCATCAAAGTCTCATAATCAAAATGGACCCTCAGAGGCACAAAAGTGTGCCACAGGAACAAGCGGATTCTTAGACAACACTTTGGTGCTGACAGAGAGTCACCTTAATCCCATGAACTGCTTTGAAAGCATTGAATAAACAAAATATTAAAGTAAAATTGACCAATTTGGCAGCTGTAAGAGAAAGGACGCAGCACCATGAACAAGAGAGCAGCATACTGGGAGGTTAATGATGGCAAACACTAATTCACACCTAAAAACATACTGCATGTCACATTAGGTGGACCATTTAAACTGAGGTCAGTGTGCCATTTCCCCAGCATTTAGATGCTCAGATACATCTTGCTGAATCTGTGCCCCAAGTTTAGTGCACCCATGTAGGGGGGGAAATTACTGTGGATTAAGGGAAAGATGTGTCTATTAATTAAATTTCGCTGTTCCAAGAGTAATCTGGATGAACATCTGTATTACTCGTTTTATAGCTTTAGCAATATGTGGTTTACTACAGCCTGAATTCTCGTTACAGAAAAGCTCTATTCTATTGTTCTCATACCACCTTTACCACCATAGTTTCTGAGCACCTTCCAGTAATACATTAAGTGACGTGACTAACATCTGCCTATGTGGTTCATTCTTTCAAAACTATGGAGCTACGCTATGTAAAATTTGCTTAAATATTTTAGGACATCCATTCTCTCAACAGCAAGCAAGGAAGAGAGAGAACCACACAGCTAACTTGAAAGAGAATCTGTAGTCCCAGACAAACATCCTTGGCAAAGAGGGAAACACCTCTAAGAGCAATCTCTCACAGCTTTGTTGGTACCAATGGGAGGCTGCCATCAGTAATGATCAGAAACAGTTCAGGAAAAGGATGTCAAAGAAAAAAAGAAGTGTGCTACCGTGTGTGGAAGAGCCTGTGAAGCACCCTCTGTGTTGCTCTTTGAAGCCGTGTTGGGATTACAGATGAAGATACCTGGAGCAAATGAAGATACCAATCTGAATTACACATCACTTTTCCCTCTTTGTAGCAAAAAATTCAAACAAAAATAATATTTCTATAGCACCTCCCATCTGAGGATTTCAAAGGACATTAAAAACATCAGTTCACTAAAGTCTCCTAATTCCTCTGAGGTGGATACTGTTATATCCACTTTACAGGGGTGGGGGGGGGGGGGGAAGAGAAGAGAGAACTGATGCACAGAGAGCCAGTTTTTTAAAGGTATTTAGGCACCTAAAAAATGCTGATGGGGTGTTTAGAAGCACCTAACTAAGTTGTTTTTTCACCCCAGATCTTACCAATTCTGGGAAATTTTAAAGATCAGCTGTTTGAGTTACTTGTGATTTAAAAAAAAAAACCTTAAGGTGTTTTGTTTTGTTTAAAAGGAAAGAGCACCTTTAGGCTGAGAATATGCATGGAAAGTTTTAGCCCAAAAGAAGAACTTTGATGGAGTTGAGTGAGTGAAACCAAAGGGTTATAACGAAAGTCAAGAAGCGACCAGGAAAGTGATGCTGAGAATATCCAGTTTGATAGCTTCATGTTTTTCTAATGATCAATTCAAAAACTGCCATAAACAAAGAAAGAAAAAAACTGTCCGTTTTCATTCAGTGACATGATTAGCACACTCAATGCTGTGGAACTGTCTCTATCTGCCAGGGAGTAGATGATTTATCTCTATAGCAACACACCTCTCCACCAATGGTGCAAAAAGCGCAGCAGCAAAGCAAAATCGCTATATGTGTGGGGCGGGGGGGAAGAGAAGAATTGCACTGAGGCTTTTTATCTTACATGTGACAAGATCACAAGCCAGGCAGGTTTGGGAGGGATGTTATGTATTCCACTTCTAACAAGTCTGCCTCATACTACAAGATAGTTCATGGAAAATTTTTAAAAAACAGGAGGCTATATGCTGCTGTTAGAGGGGCATTAGAAATCATTAGATATAAAAACAAACCTCTTATGCAACTTTCAGAATCTGACTTCAAATTAACTGTATGAAAATGTGTTTACTATCCTCTATCATTGCATCCAAGAGAGGACAGAAGGAAATACCCCATTTCCTCCCTGATGTAAAAATTAAGGTGGCATAAGAAGCTTGTTTATTTGGGTTGGGACGCTCCGGTCCTCGCGGGACAACTGGAGTGAATGGCCTCCCAGGTGCTTC